CCTCCATTAGAACATTGCCCGCGCTCAGAGCAGGTCCGTATAAGCTCAGATGTCCCCCTCCCCCCCCCCCCCCCCAAATGCCCACACCACCGCGTACGCCGCGAGCCAAGCATGTGATCCGAACTGGATCAGTCCGAGACGTACGAGATCGGCTGATACGAGTGGCACAATGCAGTGAGGACATCTGAGACCGCAGAGATCCAATGAGATACGGTGCGAGCGAGATTCGCGCGCCCGAGTTACCCGAGCCGTCATATCGTGTGACTCGGGCCGAGCCGGCGACTTCTCAGGACTGGGCGGCGCGTCTCGGCCCCTCCCACCTCCTCCCCTCCACACACGGCCCGCCGCGCCGGCTGGGCCGTCCGCGCTGTGCCCTCCCCTCCTCTCCCAGCCGTCCGAGCGCCGAGCGCGGGAGTGCCGCACTTCTTCTTCTCCTGCATCCCGCCGCCAACCCGCCCAGGGGCGGCGGCGCAGGCGGGTCGAGCGGCGGCTCGGTCCGCCCGACACCCTCGATGAAGGCGACGACCTTCGTCGCCGGGCCGCCGAGGACGTCGACTAGGCGAGGGTCGACAGTCGACACCCCAGCGGCGGCGGCGGGCCGCCTCATAGGCCGGACAATCGGTCAGCAGGTGCGTCACGCTGTCGGGCTCCCCGCACGCGGGGCATTCGTCGTCAGCTGCCAGGCCAATCTTGTAGAGCGTGTCGCGGGTCAGCGGTGATGTGCCGGTCCTCAGCTGGGACAGCGTCACCGACCCCCAGCGCGCCAGGGAGTCGTGGCCAGGCGTGGGGTCCGGGTGCGGGTGGGCAGCGGTTGCCCTCCGTCGCGACAGCTCCCGGACATGGCGCGTGACGGCGGCCCGCGCACTCGACAGGTCGATCGGTGCGCTGTCTTGGTCGCCCGCCTTGGCCTCACCAGCCAGGCGGTCGGCGGTCTCGTTGCCGTCCAGCCCGGCATGGCCTGGCACCCACTGGAGCACCGTCTCGGTGCCGTTCTCGGCGAGGGTGTTTAGCAGCCTCCAGACCTCGGCGGCCAGGGCCATGGTCTGGTTAGCTGGGCCGCGGCCGAGTAGTTGGAGCCCAGACCTTGAGTCGGTGAGGAGGCGGACCGATTTGGTCGATGCCAGCTCCCCGTCTTCCAGGCCGGCCGGCGGCCGCGCATGGCGGTCAGTTCTGCTCGCTGGAGCAGACCGCCCCTGCAGGAGCGCGCACGGTCTCTTCTCTGTTGAGGTGGTGGAACTGGAGAGCAGAGTTGGCCTACGTTACGTTATTTTGAAGTTTTCGGTAACCCGTAGCTGTCAGTACCGTTTCGTAGCGTAATTGGATGTTTCGGTAGCGTAGTACGGAAAATAACAGAATAACGTAGGAACTACGAAATGGATTCCGTAGCAATTACAGGTCAGCTGTATTTGTATTAGGTAGTTACATAATTTTTTTCAGTTTACTCATATCGTCACCAGACCTCCGGCCGTTTACACGGATGTGAGACGCCTGCTATATGAATACCACTGAGTCTTTCTTCCGGCCGGACCGACACCGGGGATTTCCCACTGGGGAGTCCCAGGGAATTCCCTGTCGGAAGTCCAACGCATCTAGCGAGTAGCGCGTAGGCACCGCCGCACCGACGATGTTGCAAAGCCGGCGATCATTGTGCGCAGTATTTGGCTTACTAGAGACTAACCGTTTCCACTGGGTAGTGGATGATGACATATTGCATAACGTAGTACGATAAAATAATTTGCTGCATTAATTAACAAATACCGTAATTCAGTAACGTAGCAATATATAACGTATCGTAATTCGGTATCGTAGTTTTGGCCAAAAAAGCAAACGTAGCGTAATGTAGTGCGTAACGTAGCGTAGCGCACGCCAACTCTGCTGGAGAGTGCCGCACTGTGTCCTCCCCTCCCCTCCCGGCCGGCATTGCCGCGCTGTGCCCCCCCCCCTCCCTCCGAGCGGGGGGGGGGGGGGTGCCGTCCTCTCCGCCGCCACCGCGCCGCGGCCGTCCGTCCCGAGCGGCGCCCACCCCCCTCACCCCGCCCCTCGTCGCTGACCGGCCGCTCCCCCTCCCCTCCCTCCGCCCCGCCGCCCCGCCGCACAGTGTGGCCAAACGCCAGATTAGCGCGAATTTAATCAGAAAACGAATTTTGGAATTTTGACTTTTTATAACTATCAGTCGATAGGAAATTGTCCAAAGTATGTAAATATCACAATACTTTGGTTCAATGTCTTCCTTTCGGTGTCCAAAAAGCTAGCTAAAGTGGACATACGCAATGCCGGTCCCAGCTGTGCTGAAATCGTCGAAAACCCGCGTCATGTTTACAACACATTTTGGCGTAATTGTCGGAAAGGTTTGGAAATAATTGGAGTGGCATATGACTACTGAGCCTATATTTGATAGTATACCCGAATTCTATAGGTATCCTTGGACTAACCGATGAGTTATGCTCATTTGAAAATGACCTTTTCAAACATCCCCTGAAAACACTGTCCATCTTAAAAACGTAGAGATATAAGAAAATGGCCAAAAAACTCCACGTCAAATCTACCATGAGAAGATTCGCCACACTTTTCTGGACATGACCCATTCAAGAAACCCTGCCCCAACTTGCCCCCCGGCCTTTGGCTCAGCTTTGAACGTATCGGGTTGGCCCGCCCGGGGAGGTCCGGCTACAGGGTGGGCGGGGCGGCGGCTCCGTAACGTTACGCGGATGGCTCAAACGCTGTATTTCTGACTTGTTATATTGCAAAATACGGTCGCCAATGAATAAATCTTGACAATTTTTCAACCCTCGCCCATATAGGGGGTGAGGGTGGGGGTCGAAAGGACCCCTCTCGGTTTCTCGCAAAAAGCTCATGTAAAAAGCGGCCGATCGCGACGAAACTTTTAGTACCCTCGAGTTTATCAATTTTACACCTACCCATTAAATTTCACGACCCTGACCCCAATGACCTTTGACCTGTGACCTATTTCTCGAGACCATGTTTGGCCGGAAGCGCGATTGGGCGTATGTTTGCTTGCATTAGCCGCGCGTTTGCAGTCTTTTCGTGGTTTCAAGCGTCTAAACATGTGATATTATGATGTTGGTCCCATGCATTATGGTCGGTGTCAAGATCACTTGAAGGTCAGGTCAGTTCAATGACCTTTGATGACTTTGGTTCACCTTTTTTAGTTTTACATGCTTCCAGGCTAGTTTTTGGAGCTGATTTCGAATTTAGTAACCATTTGAACATTTAGGAAGAAGTTTTGGTGCCTTCGTAACATGCAACGAAGCTGTCACTGGCGGTTGACACCTATTAATTATGAATACCCGGCAGGACTGGTTGGCCTGACCTGACCTGACCCGACCTACGTTCGCGGCTAGCAAAACACCAATACGGGCGAGGGTTAGTGACATGAAGGTGCTTATGGTGTAAGTCTTTGTTTTTACTCCCATTGCTGAGGTTCAGTTTTATCGGTGCGTGTATTTCAACAACCATCTACCGATTCATGTGCTTCACCAGGAACATTCACACAGAAACATAATTAGATGTTGATTTTTTTTTTTCAAGCAAACTTTGGACAATCATAAGAATTTACCAGAGAAATGATGGGAATTTCGTAAACGATTCCTCCTCCTAACATGCCCATCATTGCTGGGACCCACAATTTTATGCCTCTTATTTGCGGTTAAATTCCAGGATTTCGTAATCAGAGTCGGAGTCGTTCAGAGTCAACAGTTCTGACCCTGCAGTCAGAGTCGGAATCGGAATCGATTTTGGAATCCGGACCAAGACTCGTAGTCTGAGTCACCGAAAATCCATCGACTGCGTGGACTTGCCATGGCTGCGGAGTCAGAGTCCGAGTCGATCGTATAAGTCGACAGTTTTGCCCGGAGTCAGAGTTAAAATTGACTTTTGAAAGCCGTAGTCGGAGTCGGAGTAACTCCATCGACTTCACAGCCCTGGCCTGGTAAGCACATCACCCGTCGTAAGCTAGTTCTCCCTACTTTTAGAGGCGGAACTATGCCATTATTTGTCAGCAAGCATTTAGAATGCATCGTAAAAGGTCTCACATAGGTTTAAGTTTCAATTTTGAAACCAGGGAACCATTTTCAACGGATCCGAGCAGCGCTGGGATTTAATTCGCGCTAAACTGGTGTTTGGCCACACTGTGCGCCGAGCCGGCTGGCCGCGCGGCTCGGCGTCGTCCCGGCAGGCCACCGGACACCTTCAGACCCAGACGGCAGTGTCGAGTGATTCTGCGCCGCCGCCGCCGCCGCCGGGAGAGCCAGGGAGCTGAGAGACAGAATCAGAATCAGAATGGCCGTTTTCACGACGGAATAGCAGGCATCTATTTAATCCCCATTTGATCCTTTGGTTCCTCAGGAATTTTAGTAGTTCTTTTTAGTAGGTTCCCCAGCTTTCGAATGAATGGTGCGTTAGTTTGCTATTTTTCTATTAAATATCACATCGTGTTAGCGAGCAAATAGGCATTTTTGATATCTTCGCAAAGACGGCCGGCGCTCGGGGGGCGGCGGTCGGTCCGCCGCGCCACGCCGCTCACACATGTGTCATCTGGCCCCTGTCCTGGTTCTCATGCCCACGTGTTGTGCGTACCACGAGGGCTGAGACGGGACGGGGGCCTGACAGTCTTCGATGGGACTCCACCGGTGCGCGACGGCCCGGTGCACGACGTGGCCGACGTGGCCTTACGTACGACGCGGCCGACGTGGCCCTACGAGAACGATTCAGTGAACCGCATTTGTGACCGCCGTATTTTGTGCATTTTAATCGTTTCCGTTTCATTCAAGAATAGACTTTTACTTATATGAACAATAACTTTATGGTCCTCCGGGTGACGAAAGAGAACGAGTGAACGATCACGAGCACGCACGAACATTTCCGTATTGAACGAGTGAACTGTACGTTTCTCACGAACATTCTGGTCCTCCGGGCCGGATATCAGTGAACTAGTGTGATGGATTTACAGTGACGACGCGGTGTTGTGAACTGTGAGTACAATGTCTGACAAGCGGTCACGACATGCCAGTGATGCGAAATCACATCAAAGCCGCCGAAGCTCGTATCACACGAGGAGCGAGGCGAGCTTCAGCACGGCGTCCTCCGGTCTCAGTGAAGCCCGCCGCCGGGCTGCACTTAGCCAGCTCCAGGCGGAACAGGCCCAGCGCGCCGCCGCCGCCAAGGCTGAGCTGGCCCGGCGTCTGGCGGAGGCGGACGCGGAGCAGGCCCGGCGTCAGGCGGAGCAGGCGGAGGCGCAGGCAGCGCTGGAAGCTCAGGCGGCGAAGGATGAAGCAGAATGCCGCCAGCTGGAGTTGGAGCTGCTGGAGCAGGAGGAGCGGGGTTCGCAGCTCGCTCGTTCTTACGTTGCACCATCCGTCGCCGGCCTCCCGGTGGTTGCAACAGAGCCACCGGTGCAGGTATGCGTGTCTCGACAGACGGACGAGTCGGTCACGCGCACCCGACAGTGGCTGACTCAGTCTCAGCTACACGTGCCACCAGTGGATACGGCTCCCGTCAGCGCTGTGCCTCCACCTGCAATGCGTCTGCAGCGCCCGTCCAGTGACGACACGCGAGCGGTCCCGCATCTGCCGCGCATCACACTGGAGAAGTTCGGAGGCTCTGCCATCGAGTGGCCGCGGTGGATGGCCCTCTTCAAAGCGCTGGTACACGACCGCGCCGACCTCACCGACGTAGAACGGCTGACCTATCTGCAGACTCACCTGACGGGGCCGGCGAGAGAGTCTGTGCGGGGCATGCTCTGCGACGCCAGTCTATATAGCACTGCCCTGGGTGAGCTGGAACGAGAGTTTGGTGACCCGTCCCGTGTAATACACGCCACGATGAAAAGACTGCTCACAGCGCGGCCAGTGAAAGACGGTGACCTGTCAGCGCTCACAGAGCTGTCTCGTGAGCTCCACACCGCGGTGAGCGTCCTACAGTGTCTGCACGAGCACGACCTCGCTGCCGCCACGAACGTCACCACTGTGACTGGGAAGCTACCAGCCTCCCTCGCCTGGAGGTGGGGCGAGCACATGTTGGAAAATGGCATCACTCGTCCGACGCTCGTCGATCTCGACGAATGGCTACGCCGCCATGTGTCAGCTGGTCGGTTGGCCTTGAACGTGACCACCAAGCAGCTGCCGAAGGTCGAGGCTAACGACGCTGAGTGCCGCCCGAGACGCGTGTTTACCACCACGTCGGCGCGGCCCACGCCGGCGGCTGTAAAGCGGGAGAGGACAGCTGCCATAAAGTCATCTGCAGCGGACGGGAACAGCGACTGGTGTGCCATGTGTCAGCAAACACACGAGCTCCAGCACTGTGACGAATTTCTCGCGCTGACTGTGAGTGAGAAGGCAGAGTTCGTCGGCAGAAACGGACTGTGCTTTAACTGCCTGGGTCGCGATCACATCAGCGCCACGTGTCCCAGTGATGCACGATGTGACGCGGAGCACTGCGGCAGGCGTCATCACACGCTGTTACACAATGGAGGACGAGTGTTTCCGCTGCGCGATTCCGATGATAGTACGCCGTCATCTGCCAAACATGTCGGCACCGCATCGGCCGAGCCTCGCAGTGATATTCTCCTGCAGGTGGTGCCCATCACCGTAAATGGGCCGGCAGGTAGCCGCACCACGAACGCGCTCCTGGATCTCGGGAGTCAGATCACACTGATCACCGACGACCTGTGTGACCGACTCGGCAGCTCGGGGCCCACCGACAAATTGGTGCTGAGTACGCTGAGTGGGACCCAAACGACGACGTCACGACGCGTATCCTTCACCGTTGAGGCTGTGGGCGGCGACGGCAGGGCACACCGTATACGAAACGCCCAAACGACGCCGACGTTAAACGTGTCAGCCAAGGCCGTGGACTGCACAGTGGCAAAGGAGAAATGGCCGCACCTGGCCGACCTGGATCTCCCCAGCGCCACCCAAGGCCCAGTGGAGGTGCTCCTGGGAACCGACGTCATCGAACTTATTGTGCCGCGGGAAGCGATCGAGGGACCGACGGGAACGCCGTGCGCCGTAAGGACGCTGTTGGGATGGACGGTGACCGGGCGGGCGTCGGAACGCTCGGTGCTCGATGATGAACACGTTGTCAATCACGTTCGTGTCAGTGATAAAACGAGTGCAGTCGCTGACCTTCACACCCAGGAATCATCAGAGACGACCCAGTGGTGTCACGCAGCCGAGCCGCCGGGCCCGGCCGACATCTTCAGCAGAGGCGGCCCGGGGACGGACCTCGCCCCCGGCGGACCGTGGATACGAGGTCCAGCTGCGCGGTCCGGCCCGGCCGCCCTCTCCGACGACGAGACGAGGGTGACAGCGTGCGTCACCGAGCGAGCGGAGCCGGTCGTAAACAGCAGTGACTTCTCGTCCTGCCTCATGGACTCCGGCGGCCTGCTCAGAGTCGGTGACCGTCGCTGGAAGCGGAAGAACACGCAGCCGCAGGATCGCTCCTGGCGACGCCGGCGGCGAGAGTGTCTCCCCGCGCACGCCGACCGCACACTGCATGTCGATCATGGACACGACCGAGGTCAGGGTTGGCGAACTAGTGCGACTGACCGACGTAAACGTACCACGTGGACATTGGTCGGTGAGATGAGCGGAGTGTGTGACCCTGGTGTGGGCGGTCTTATTCCCGCCGTTGACGTGACGACTGATACCGGCCAATACAGGCGGCCTGTCTCTCGTCTCTGCCGTCTTGAGTGCGACGGCGACGGACAGTAAATGGACTCGGAGAGATAATATGCGCGCGCGTGGGACGACTGAAGTGAGTCGTTTACGACCCTGCCGTGCCGCCGGCGAGCAGTGTCGAGATCTGGACATCTATTAGTGTTTCCTGCCCTCGTCATTCGCGGTGTAAGCGTGTCTGTGTGTGTGTGCGTGTGAGAGTGAGCCGCTCACTCTGTCCGCGGTCAATGGTCATTTGTGTTTAGTGTTCAGCCATTAGCTATCAACTGTGAGCCGTGTGACGATGCTACGCGTTCACTGTGACAGTGTCCCTCCCGGCCCACTTGGCCGGTCGGTCTACGAATGAGCTAGTTTACGACCTTAGAGTGCGCAGTGTTAGATTAGTCTATGGTACCACGCCCATGTTAGCGCTAGTTTCTGTTCGCGTCCGCTCCGTTCGGTAATGCAATGTGTGTTATGTGTTGTACGCTGGGTGCTGGGTGTTTGTGTGTCGGCAATGTGACGGCACTGTCACTGCCGCCAGTGCCTCTCGAGCGAGTGTTCGTAGTTAACGACATGCGTCAGTGCGTGACAACGGTGACAGTGACCGGCGGCCGGGACCGCGCCGTCGTATAGTTTTACGACTGGGCGCGTGATTGTTGTCAGGAATGACCTCCGCCCCGGCCAGACTCTGTAGTGCGTAATGCGTATTGTATGTGAGTGTATGTATATCGCGCATGTTGAACGGATCGTTACGAGTGTGTGCGTGCGTACGGGACGCTTGAACGATTGCTCGCTAGTTGTTGGATTTTCCGCGGATGATCGCGAAAAACCGGGCCGGCTATGTTAGCGAGCAAATAGGCATTTTTGATATCTTCGCAAAGACGGCCGGCGCTCGGGGGGCGGCGGTCGGTCCGCCGCGCCACGCCGCTCACACATGTGTCATCTGGCCCCTGTCCTGGTTCTCATGCCCACGTGTTGTGCGTACCACGAGGGCTGAGACGGGACGGGGGCCTGACAGTCTTCGATGGGACTCCACCGGTGCGCGACGGCCCGGTGCACGACGTGGCCGACGTGGCCTTACGTACGACGCGGCCGACGTGGCCCTACGAGAACGATTCAGTGAACCGCATTTGTGACCGCCGTATTTTGAGCATTTTAATCGTTTCCGTTTCATTCAAGAATAGACTTTTACTTATATGAACAATAACTTTATGGTCCTCCGGGTGACGAAAGAGAACGAGTGAACGATCACGAGCACGCACGAACATTTCCGTATTGAACGAGTGAACTGTACGTTTCTCACGAACACATCGATTTACTTTATCTAAGGATTTATCACTAATATCAACATAAAGCGTAAGCACAGTTATAAAATTATGAAATTATTAAATTTTAGTACAATAGTTAAAAAAAGATACTGAGTTGCCAGGCTACAAAGAATATATTCATTTATGGCGCACGACAGACATTTAGAAAGCAGCGCCCTGTTTTATTGCACGCTGCTAGCCGCTTCCATTGGGTTTTGCAGGCCGACGTCATTGGTCGTTACACGTATGATGTCACGCGACTTGTGGCCTGTCACGGCTCTTTCATGATCTCCACTAAATGAATGCAACAATGGCCTTTTAAGTTGATCTCTGTGGCCATCTGTCTATGGAGCGACCAATATGAAAGTTGGGTGAATTTACCGGGGTTACATGACTATGAGCAAGCAAATGTGTATCAGGAATGGATTTAGGTGGAGAATTGCGCTGGACCATGAGTGCTCGAACGCTCCCAATTCCACGCCGGTTTGGCTCTGGAGCCGAGACAGACGATGCGGGTCAAGGTCACCGCTGGGGTAACGGTGGATTGGCTGCGCCCGAGCACCCGTAACGCGGCACAATTCTCCATCTATGGATTTTCCTATTCGCTCAGCATTGTGATAGGCGTTCGTAATAGCATTTACTCTGCTCATGTACCTATCCCCGGTTATTTAAAATAAGTTTTTGTGGGGGAATATCACGGCTTTAGGTACTCGGTGGCCCTAACTATTCACGACTTTCAAAGAATGCTCCGATAACTAAACACCGCACAGACCTACTGCATTAGTGAATCTGACAGAAGGTCTGTGGAATTACATCCCCCCTCACCACACCCCTAAAAACTCATCCAGTGTCCAAAACCACTTTTATCGACTCGCCAAAAAAAAAACACACACACACATACACACACAAAGCATGGGGCATGTCAGCTCTCAGTTCATTTATCATTGTCTTTACCATGGTTCAATTGCATTGCGCGATTTAAAGCACGTGAGTGCCTATATAGTATATATGTAGAAAATAATATCTACAGCAAAACATCCAAAATTACAAAGGCTACAATGCTTAAAAAGTAGGTTCATCAAGGAAGCCCATTTTTACTTGCGTTGTGTTCCCAACCATGCGATTCCAACGCGGGCTATTCGCAACGTCTGTTAACCCTCGCCCGTATAGGGGGGGGGGTCGAACGGACCCCCCCATGGTTTTTCGCGAATAACTCGCGTAAAAAGCGGCCGATCGCGACGAAACTTTCAATACCCTCGCGTTCATCAATTTCACACCTACCCTGAAAATTTCATGACCCTGACCCAAATGACCTTTGACCTGTGACATACTTTTCGAGACCATGTTTGGCTGGAATCGCGATTCGGCGTATGTCGGCTCGCATTAGCCGCGCGTTTGCAGTCTTTTCGTGGTTTCAAGCGTTCAAACATGTGATATGATGTCGCCCCCATGCATTAGGGTGGGTGTCAAGGTCACCTGAAGGTCAGGTCAGGTCATTGACCTTTGGTGACCTCGGTTCACTTTTTCGAGTTTTACATGTTTCTAGGCCAGTTTTTGGAGCTGAATTCGAATTTAGCAACCATATGAACATTTACGAAGTAGTTTTGATGCCTTCGTAACATGTTACGAAGCTGTCAGAGGCGGTTGCCACCTACTACGAATACCCTTACTGGTTGACCTGACCTGACCTGACCCGACCTGGCCTAAATACATGAAGACATCATCGGTGATCAAAACTAACATGATATTCGTGATCTGCACCCCGAAAAAAACCCATAGCAGCCACACTTTACGACGTTCTAACAGGTCCCGATTTTCCCGCCTTTGGGGTCATTGACCTGACCTGCAAGGTCAACCAATGACCTAGGACCTTAAAATTGGGTATCATCGGCTTCCTCTCGTCACGGGCAACACGCTCGTTTTTTCCGCGAAGCTCTAGCTTGATCAGGGGCGAAACGGCAAGGGGGGGGGTCCAACGGACCCTCCCCCCCCCTTATACGTTCGCGGCTGGAAAAACACCAATACGGGCGAGGGTTAAGGCACGTTAACAACTGACAAGCCGCCACCGCTGCCACTTATTCATAGATGGTTGATATCGCAGCTTGGGCGTCAGCAGCGCGGCCCACAACGCGTCGGCGCCAGCGCACGCAGCTGTTGGCACTCGGCAGCCGGTGTTGCGACTTAACGGCCGGCCGGCCCCATGAAGGAGAAGCTCTTGGTGAAGCTTTGTGATCGCCTCATAGCCGCCTTGGATGTCATCTTTCTTGGCAGATCCATCCGTTCAGATGGTACGGTGCAGTCTGGATAAAGGACGAAGTCCAACGCCGCTAACCCCGCGACCGCCACCCCACAACGTGGCCGCAGACCGAACGGGCGTGAGGGCCGTAAGGGCCACCCCGCCATCCGGTAGGTGGCTGAGCAGCCGGGCGCAGCGGCGCCTGGGCGGCGGCCGCGCTGAGATGAAGTCCCAAACCGCCATGTCGCCATCACCGCCATCACCATTGCTGCAGCTGTTCCCAACCGCCTCAATCGCCGCCGTTTTGCCAGCAGTCGCGCCGCGGAATGGCAGAAGCTCCAGAGTAGCCTCCAGCGCCCCTCTCCGCACGTGTGCAGGTGCACTGCGGCCGCCGGGTCCGACGTCCAGGCAGAACATGATATTTCCATGCTGCTCCGACGGTGGGCTGGTCTTGTTTGGGCGTTCCTCCACTGTGACGTCGGTCACGCCTGCCCCGGCCAGGGCGCAGAGGCCGACGTGTCACCATCCGGTTGCAGTCCTCAGTCGGGTCGCAACGTGTACCTCTTCCGCAGCGTGGAGCGCGCTCCCGCTGGGCAGCGATACAGCCAAAAGTAGCATAGCATGCGGGCGGTGTACATACAGCTGGTGACCGCGTGAGCCGCCAATCGAAGCTCACGGCTTATAAGCTCGACGCGGGCATCACACGCCGTCCCGATGGGAGCTCCACGACGCCGCCGCGAACTCCAGCGCGGCTCGCAGCGCGAAGACCAGTACGGACGGCCGGGGCAAACGGCGTGCGGGAGTCGCAGGCGACGTTCTGCGGACAGAAAGGGTTGGGCATAAGCTGGTCGGCAGGACACTCTTGAGCCGAGCCTTTGATGTAATTACAGATGATCCAGAAGCATGCACAAAAATTCATGACACACTATTCTCATTTATGTATTTGCTACATATGATATGATATACCAGCTCATGATCAGTGACGCATTCTGGGCAATATGTTCTAAAGTGAAGTAACTGAAGTTACAGCTTAAAAGCTTAAAAAGCAGCTTAAAAAAAAACACACACATTCGATAGCTTATGAGAATAACATGCCTTGTGTGCTTAATGCAGGAAAATATTTTTTTTCACTTTTTTAGAAACAGCAAAAGAGTTGTCAACAAGCCATGTCAACTATCTTAACAATTTTTATGGAAACTGCTCTAGCTAGCTTAAAGTTCCACAACGTTTCCGGAGCACCGTACCCAAACTCAGTTCATGCTACAAGAAAAAACAGTAATAATGCCTCCTAATTTTGAATGAAATATAGGTATGAGTAATTTGATTTGGAAAGCAACAAATTTCCGCACATCATTTTAGCAAAATTACTATTTTCTTCAGCCATCAGGTTACACAAAACTATAGTAAACTTTATGATCTAGTTTACACAAAACCAAAGCCCCGATTTTAACAAATGTAGATAAAATTTAAACAATTTTAAAAAATGTAT